AAAAAACCGCGTTTTTCAAGTATTCGTGAAATTTTTTCAGTATTTTTAAGATCTAAGATCCTACTCGTAGCGGAGACAAATCCAACAAATCAAAAACCATGCGAATTGGTCCAGCAGATCTCGAGTTATAAGTGCTGGATAATTTTTCACAACTCTCTTTTATAAAGGTTGTGAGAAATTTGAGTCATTTAATCATTCTGCACTTCTTTTATACATATGCATCCAAATCAATGCAAAAGCCCGCTGACTGCGCTTAGGCTGCGGTGCAGTGTCAGCAATATTATGAGAATTTAATTGTTGAACAATTTCTTTTGTTGACATAAGTTTTGATAGTTGATACTCCTCAATGAGCGCTAAACTACAATATGTATAAAGTATAGCCGGCAGCTGAGGCTGAAACGATTGAAGCAAACACGCAAATATTTGCAAAAGCCTTTCGATAAAGTCACCGCCATCGACGACAAATGTTCGTTTATGTGCATCCGGCCGTCGGCACTTTTGAAATGGAAAAAGAAAGAACATTTTTCAACTTACAACCAATCTCCCGCAGAGCTGTCTGCAGATGACGCGAAAATAAACAGAGCGCTAGTGGTCAATTCAGAAGTCTTCTCCTCGGATTTCCTAGATACTTCTCTTCTTTTTCAAGCACTAGTATGCCGGGGCAGACGTCAACAGAAGGCGGTACAAATCGAAAGTAGAGCAAATATTTTGTTTTCGGCACGCGCAAGACAAATGTTTTCGGTATAAATTTGTGTTTATTTATGTTCTTGTATTTCCAATAAACTTTTCTTTTTGTATTCCAGTTCTTTTTTGGCGTAACTCCACGTACGGCTAACGAGCATCGACCGTTTCGAGCGAATCCGTGTGCAGGACTAAATCGAAGGGCCGGCGCCTGAGTGCGCGGCACCCAACGGAATCCACACGAAGCAGCCACACCAAAAGCGCGCTAAAATTACCATCCACATGATACCAACTGTCAATGAAATCCACCACGTGTGACTCTGCTCAATGCGCACTACGCAGCCGCTGCCGACCACACAGGCGAAGGCGAAGGCGTGCTCAATATGCGAGACGCCAGTGTAACAGCTGTGGACTATATTCATTATTGGGCAACTGTTGATACTTCGTGAATTGCTCGCATTTTCATTCATAGCCTCGCCACGGACGAATACGTTTCGTAGCTGCTTTAATGATTCTGTGCACCTTTCGCTGCTCAGCTACATGTTTAGAGGCCTTGCCAATTGTTCGCCCGCTAAAGCTGCTTTTCAGCTTTTCATTTCACAGAGTTTGTGTAACCGCAGCAAAGTACTTAAGTTCAATCATCAAAAACAAGTTGCCAAGTACCGGAATCTTATATTAGCTAAACTTCTATCTAACAAGTTGATGCGCCACATCTCCCCATGAATTCGTAAATTTAAATTGCTTAAATAATATCCTCAGTTTTAGTAACTAAAACGTGCTGAAGTTTGACCGATGCAGTCATATTTTATAATACATATGGCAAGTACATGGTGAGGTTGACGAAAATCGGATTAAACCTTTCACAGATCAATAGAACTACGAACCATTGCAGATAGATTAAGATGTAAACTGAATACATTTTTTCCAGACGACTCAACCCCAATGCAAAACTTTTTTCATTATATAAAACAGAGCCGCACATCAATCTTGATGAAATTACTTTTTATATTTTTATTGACGACTTCAACTAGATTATAATTCGCTAACGAATTATGTTGACGTGATGTTCTTCAAGGTGCTGCACATATGTTTAACGCTGGCTTCCAAACCATCCCCGTACGGCACCGTGGAGTAGTGGTAAAAAATGGACACAGAGGGGATCTCAAGAGGCATAATGACAGGAATACCGTTCCCTCTGTCGCGGGACTACGGAAAATCACTAAGGCCGCCACGACTGTCAAATAGAGGAGAAACTTGGGAGACATCGTTGTAGATATTCCAGATCAGCTCTGCCGTATGAACTGAATTCTCATTAGAGCTAGGCGACCTATTTATAGGTTGCTAATAGAGTTTTATAGTTTATTTTATTGATAAGGCTAGAGTCGGCTCACATTCATTTTATTTACACTAATGACACGCGCTAGCAATTTTTTGTATGAGAACAAATAGCAACGCATGCAAATTGTGCAATCGAATGCACAACGTCGCGACAGTATAAATATTTAACCAATTAATTCCGCATTGCCATTCTATTCTTTATGTAATTTTCCTTCTCTATAAACTTAAACCTTCCTTAAATTACATATTTTTCGTGATTTTTTGATTTTATGGACTGATTTTAATGTTAAAAGTCCAATAAAAAGCAATCAGTTAATTAAATATTGAAAAAGAAATAATAATAATATTTAAATCAGCAAGTAGCTAAGTATTGGTCTGTTACTGTAAAAAATTGCCGATTTTCCACGTCCCTACTGAGCGTAGACACATCATTTTTGGCCAGCTCATAGAATAAGCTAACGGTAACCTAGCTGCAAAAATTGAATGCTTACGTTCAAAAACTGAAAAAATTACAGGGTATATTTTGATATGCCACGCCCCCAAAGAGGCGTAACAATGTTATTTGGGGAATCGAAAGAAGAGGTGACTAGTAACTTAACTATCAAAATTTGAAGCTTCTAGCTCTTATACTTTAGAGGCTATAAACTTTTGCGGTTTGCCACGCTCCTGTGGGCGGACATATATCCAACATAGATTTTTGGTCATGGAAGGTCAGCCCAAGTGTTCAAAATATAGCAAAATTACAAAAAATCATATATTTTCAGGTCCGATTTGCCACGCCCCTGGTAGGCGTAGACATATCATTTTCATCAATCTTTATAGAATCATAACATTAGCTCACGTACAAAATTTTAGCGTTCTAGCTACGCCCCAATGGGCGTAGATATATCCGCCATAGCACGTGATCTTGGGTGGTCGATGCAGATCTACATTCCAAAATTTCAGCATTCATCTTCAGCTAATACGATTTCTGGTATACGGAAAATTTTAACACTATAAATCGGAGATATACGAGTATGTCTTCCGAATTTCGAGTCTCTAGCTTCAAGAGCGTTGAAATAAACTGCGTTTATACGGACAGACGGACGGACAGCAAGACGGACATTGTACAAAACCAATATACTGATTTCACTTTCGTGAATGAGTTTAAAAAGTAAGTACGTTTCAGTCGTGAGTTACCAACTGCAATATACTCATTTACATCCCATGAGCCTAGTAGGGGCGTCGAAAATAGGCAAAAATTTACTTTTCTACAGTATTAACTAAACTTAGCTACTAAATTGCTGATGGGATGTGAATGAATATTCCGCAGTCGGTAAGACCGACTGGAGCGTTCTTACTTGTTCTTATTATTCCTGCTTTTTGGGACGGATTATAAATTCATTGTGGGAAAAGGTAAAAAGCTTCATAAAACTGTTTGTTCAGGCATGAACATATGAATATACGATGATCGTATACATGCCTCCGACGCA